ATAAAGAAGTTACTATTTATGCATTTGAAATGCTAATCAGGTTAAACACAAAACACAGAAAGATATTTCCCACAGCTCATGATCAAGCAGAAATAGTTTTAGAAAATATATACTTGACCTCATAAGGAAAACTTCCTAGGTAATTAATCTAATATTAAAATAAATAAATAAAGATTCATACAACTTTTTTTTCACATGGATGTTTTACTTCCTACGTAATCCTTGGAAGACTTCTACAATAATATTCAAAGATCCAAATTTTGAATACATTTTTACACTATTTATTTTTACAAATTAAAATGTAATATGTAGTTATTTATTGGTACCACACAAAATAAAAACAATTGTATATCTTGTTAAAAAAAAAAACAAATACCAACACACGGATACTAACACTGCCACAACCAGAATATAAGTGTAAATAGAACTAAATTTCGTATGAATATACAAATGAAAAAAAACGTAGCTAGGTGAAAATGGCACTTCACGTAAAATTATTTAAAGCAAACTGACAAGTCTTTATATACTGCACTAAGAGAATCTACAGTAATATTAAATAGCACACTTTAAGATACATTATTCCCATTGATAGACAACCCTGAGCACATTTAAAGGGACACTGTAGTCACTATAAGCATTTCATCTCTTTGAATTGGTTATAGTGTCTGGAGTGCCCTGGCACTGTCCCTCCATTCAGTGTTGCACCATGTTCGTACAGTATGCCACAAAATAAGAGTCCCTGGCCACCCACTGTCCGGCCCCTTTAGTATGTGTAGCTAAGGCAGAGATTACACACTTCCTTGTTGTCATACCCACTCATACTGTCAGTTGGAACTCTGACAGGCTAAAAGCAGTCAGCTGACACTCTCAGCCAATCACAGCTGCCCATTTCTGCTCAGGCTAATACTTCCTTATTAGCCAAAGCAGCACAGAGGGGATGGATTGCCGGGGACTCTTGTTTAGCATTAAAACATTAAAACTTTAAAAACTTTTTAATGCTGATAGAAATGATGGGACCAGAAGACTCCAGACACTATAACCAGTTTAATGAGATGAAGCAGATACAGTGCCTACGGTGTCCCTTTAAACAAGCTTAATCAAGTTCTGAGTATTCTCCAAACACCTTAAACAGCTTTCTACAGATTTACACTTTGTTATATTTTTTCATACATTTTAAGTTTTAAAACCACAAATTATTCTATTATACCTGTATATGGATATAAAATAGGGAGAATGTAAGTGGGCTAAGAAGGACTGAGTCGTGTGGCATGCCTGAAAAATGGATGGGTAGATTGATTCATATCAAGCTTGTTGTAGTTTTCAGAAATGATCTGGTGCAAGTCTCATTATAATTAGTCTAACCATGGTTTGACTTCTTACCTGGCGTCTTCTGGTTATCACTCCCCAACTTCCCTACTAATATTGGAGAGCTATAAGTTCCTAAGCAGAAGCATCCATAAGCTCTCAATTATCTGAGAGAGCAATCCTGACACTATAACAACTACACCAAGCCCTAGTGGTAATGGTACTTGGAGTGTTCATTTAAATCTATAGATATAATGTATTAAAACATGTAGTCCTGTGGTGTGTTCATTGAACGTATGAAATAAATTGCTTTGCAGTATATTGTTGCCAATGCTAAGTTTGTCCATCAGCCTGTGTACAGAAGGAAATATTTTTTTAGCACTACAGGCACAATAATAAAAGCGATTTGTCTGCTGATGTTGTCTAGAAACTGACATGTTAAAAAACGAGTCAAGATTAGATTCCAGCAAACTACTGAGTCTCTGCCAAGTATAAATTAGATATGGAGACAGTTAAACTACAACTTAAGAACCATCACTATGAACACAAATTATGGTTAGAATAAAAATGAAAACATAAAATATTATTATATGAGTGTGACAGTATGTTTCTCAAAACATTTTTTTAAATAGACTAAATATATAATTTAAAAATACAAATTTTTAATCTTAACAAATATATTGTGTTCTTTCCCATTATGTTTACTTAATTTGTTCCATGAATGTAATTATTTAGAAACACATCATTAATTCCTCACTATAGATAAAGGAAATGGCATAGAATTTGTATATTTCCCTGTAGAACTGATAATGCATTTTTAATAGAGGAATAAAATAAAAGTGTTTTCAATGAAATGTTGACATGGTTGGTATTTATCAAAAGAACAGTAAAATAACAGTTTATTTTTTTATGTATTTAATACATTTAAACCAAATGCTGATTAATAATTTCTTTATTTTTCTTGTCTGACCGGTTTCTCTACCATTACACTGAGTACAGATTTTTTTAGTAGTAAGGTCTATTTAAAAACATAAGGTCTATTTAAAAAAATCCTTAACTATAAAATGCATGTCACACTCAGTCCTTACGCTATTTATAATGTCTAATCCATGTATTACCAATAGCAAAGTACACCATGATTTCCCCTGATAAAAAATCTGGCACAAACTATTTTAAAGATAACTACTGAAGCATGGAATTCCATATCTTTTTTCTTACACTATGAAATATATTCTCATGTTGTATGTGAAATCTCCCTTTCTCAAGTTTAAATCAAAACATTATTACCAAACACAGTGATGGGACCAAAGGTTGAGCTGATACTGCATTGAGATCCTGCAGCTGAATTAATGCACATATGTATAACTGTATCGCAATGCAAACATTCCTTCATATCAGTCACAATCTATTTTATTTTTATAACACAATTCACCAATACTATAACTGAAAGAAAAATAAATATTTAAAACTATAATCATTACAATATCAAAATCAAAATCTTGTAATTACAATATCAAAATGTTGTCTTCTAGATGATCAGATTGAATTGAAAACAAAAACATGCATCATCAAAGTTTACATGTGTACATCCAATCTGTGGCAAGATAAAAAGTGATTACTGGCATTTTCTGTATTTTTTGTACATTTTTATCTCTATTCTTTATTTTAACATATTTAGCATATTATCCTTAACAGAATTTTCATGAACGTTGTAATTCATTTAGTTAGGTCAATCTGATCTCAAGATGCAAGTTGTGTTATTTTTGTAGTTTCTTAACACTCAAATTACAATTTAATGCTCTGCTGACTAACATGTTAAATATTTTTCACTGAATCATTAACTTGCTGTGGTTGTGTGACAAAATAGGCTTATAACAACATTGGGTTTGGATTTATTAAACAAACTATTCATTGCGTGCATCTACTTTTGTGCTTTTCATATAACAGAAAACTTAATGCAGACACAATGGGATTTGTCTAAAATAAAGACTCATGGATGCGTAATATATTGATTTAATTTTGTGTAACAATCTTTTAACAGGGACTTTATGACGTTTTTAGTGAATACACCTTTTACACTTTACTATACTTACCATTCTTGACAATAATTCTAAATGTTGGTTTCATCAATTGACTAGTCTAATCTCTGTAGGTGTAAATAAATGTATGCGCTTTGCAAAGGAATGCAGAAACCTGATGTTGTTCTATGTCTCATTTATCTACCAATCGAAAAGATCAAATGCCAGGCTCATGTTACAGGTTTGTTTAAGTAAGAAAGGTCAAATGATTTAGTCAGTGTTTTTACTTTCTTTTATACTTTCATTCTACTGATTCAACCTTATTGATAAATTAGGTGTAGATGGATACTCTTCATTTTGAGGCCATTCATTTTTTTTATAGTTAAATCACAATAAAAATCATTATTATGTTTCTTTATCTCAATGTATTTTCCGAATTAGACTACTGTATGAATACATTGTTATCTTGGCCAAAACATTTTGTGATATAATGTATGTCGGACATTTGGATTGATTAAAAAGGTTCGGGTATTACAATAACAAGCTTAGATTTAGAATAATTTTTGTTTTGTAATGTATATTTTCACAATTCTATTAAGAAATTAAAACAATAGCACTCAGCAAAAACAGGTATAATGGTGATTTATTTAAAAAGGCAATGTTTCAACATCATAAGTGTCTTTACCATAATATAAAATATGTGCATCATACAGAGTATTTTATATGAAGAAACAATTTCTAAGTCAACCATGGCGCAGTGCAAAAATTATATATTGTGAACAATCATAGTGCAACATGTAGAGTGGAAGTGCTCTGCCCCTTACTGCTCAGGCTTGCTACTCTGAATATTGTTAACACTTGCTGTTGTAATGCCTACGTGGATCACTGGTATTATGGGTTACTGCCTTCCACTCTACAAACTTTTTTCATTATTATTATTTTTTTTTAATTCTTTATTTTAGTAGTGCATTGATCAGTACATGGGTTGACATAAACATGTTATTGGATTTCAGTACAAGTTGTCATAAGTAATAACTGTATACATGTTAAGACTGCTGCACATTTTTGTATAAGGTAAGAAATATTAACGAACTAGTTGTATTCAATGCTTGAGGAGAGAGGCGAGAACACCGCCATATGCTACCCACTGATTGTGATTACAGGTGTCAAGGATTCAAAATGGTAAGTGCAACGTGGAGCTTTACCCTGCTTGCCAATAGCTAGGTAATCTAAGGTATAGAAATAGACATGCATTCAATGTGGGATCGCTTACCAACGAAGCTCCTGGCATAGGCTAGCAGCTAGAGAAGAGCTTAATTAAGATAGCGGTATAACATGCTGTGGTGAGTGTTAGTGACTGAAATCACCGTGGATAGATCTGTCCCTATACATGCTACAGTCCACAGAGTGCTGCAGGTTCTGTCGGTTTTGCATTGTCACCGAGAGATGCATGGCGTAGTCGGTAAGTCCGAGGCTGGTATTAGCCATCCTGAATGGATGATGAGGCATGGGGGACTGTGCATAAGAGTCTCGTGTTGGAGGCAAGCTGCACCTCAGTCAGCGGTGCCTAGTTGTGTGCGGGCGTTGAGGGTAGTCAATGGGCATTGTTGCTGTGGTATCGGCTTGGATCAGTAGTTTAGCAAGGTTACCGCTAGTGCCGCTGGTGGGCCTCATCGATCAGTCTTTTTCAGACGCGTCCTCAGGGACATAGAGTGAATTGAGCTTCCGTGGGCCCCTCATGCCGACTCTGCCCTCCATCTCCAGCCCCAGTTCGTTCGCCATGTAGTCGGAAGGCAGGATCGTGTGCCGGCTTGTTCGGTTGGGGTGATGCTCAGCAAGGTGGTTCCGTCTGCAGACAGGCGAGGTTGCGTCGTCCATTGCAGATCGTGGCGCCGCCATTTTAGTGCCCTGGCTCGTAGCGCATAACTCTAGTTGGCATGATGTAGGGCCTTTGTAGGGCGGTGTTTCCCTCTGATGGGGACCGGGATAACCCCCCCGGTCCATGGGGGGGAAGCGAGGCCTGCGAGGCGCATCGCAAGGCTGCCGCCGGGCAGCCAGGTTAACAAGCAGGACGGCGGCCGTCCGTCCCGCTCTCCACCCTCATAGGCCGCAGGCCCCAAAGTCCCATATCGCTCGCTGGGGGCTCTGGAACTCCCGATCTCAGGGACTGCGGTGGCTCCGGCTTCTGCCTGGGTGCTTAAGACAACTTCTGGTCACTCAGATTGCTTTGTTGTTAAAGTTTTGTGCCATAGGGGACCAAATTTGTCAGGAGCCTCTCTAGCCTGCGACCGGTCAGCATGGCGGTCAGGCCCCGCCCCCTTTTCATTAATTTTTTATAGTTTTATTTTTTGAAATTTTTTTATTTTCCCTTTTCTGTCTTTTTGCACTACTCAGTTATGAATAGATGGCGGGAAAAAAAATTCTGACAAATAAATCAATCTCCCCCGAATTCGGGGTTCAGACAAACCATTGCTTTAAAAAGGGCCAATCAGTGCACTGCAAAACACATACATTGTATATGTATACTTTAGGTACATGTTCCACTATTTGGTTCACAAATCAGGTTACAATGAATAACCAATAGAAGGAAAAAAAAGAAGAAAAGTAAAAATCCATATTTGTATATTTATATATGATATAATTATAATTTAAAAAGGAAGAACAATACATATTCCCTGAATATAGATTGATTTTACTGCACCTCTTTTTCCCCTCTGTTGGTCAGTTTTCATTTGATCTGTGAATAAAATCAACATTTAGCGGCTTTCTCTTAACCAACAATAATCTTTTTTTTCCCATCAGTCATCTCTTTTTTGGTTCAGTGGGTGGAATTCCAAATCACAAAACAATCAAAACTTTTTATCCACTGTCTTTGTTGTTTGTTTTGTGATACATCTATATGGCACTCAGTAGTTAGGGAATTAGTACGACCAGTCGATCGGCTGAAATTCAGACAAATTGCAATGTGTTTCAAACTAAATGTGCAAGTCTAGCTATGAACACACTTTTCATATACTGTAAATATATATGCATTTACATTCATTGTATATAAATATTCAGGACATTTTCATGTTGAGTTGTATATCCTTGTTCTTTCATGCAGAATATTTAATTGACTTGGGCAAGTATTTTCTTTATCTTATGTTTAGGACATAAAGCAACTGTTCTTCTCTTTACTTTTGCAGCATACTATTTCCGATCTACACAATTTAAGAGATGACACCTGGTACTTCCTGGGTGGCTATGGATGGCTATCATTTTGTTTTAATGAGACCATGTGAATGTTTTCGCTCATCACAATCCCTCATGGCATTTAATGTTCACAGATTTACAGTAATTAGCAGTTTTTCATTTCATGAGCAGCTGTAGTGTGCCCACATTTGCTTTGCTTAAACATATCTTATATTAAGAACTTGTTATTATGCACAACACCCTTGGATATTATTACCAAATAAAAGGAACATACTTGTCTTCTCCATTTTGCTGTCACAGAGTGTCCTTACTGTTTAATAGGCATCATTGATTGTTAATCTTCACCATTTAAGGAATATGCTATTTGCTCATATACATTCTCTTTCCACCCCCACACAGCCTAAATAGTATCATGCTCACAAGCTGCAAGCCCATACCTTGCCCAACGCCTTTCAGCATCAGCAAACCACTTATCTACTATCTATGTAGCTACTTCCAAACAGATCTCTTAAAAATGGAAAACCTCAATTACACACCTCTTTAACAAAAAGCTGATTCATCCTGGTTTGTGTATAGCATCTCTTGAGTAGACTAACCATTGGCAGCGGGTCAGGGCCAAATTTTATTTCCCCAGCCCCCAACCATGGGGACCAAAAAAAAAAAGTGACGCAATAAAAATGATCTTCACTCCTAGAGGTTACGCTACAGACTGAGCTCTTAAAGTGGGGAAATCTCATGCTATGTAGGCTATTGCATCACATGGGAAAATTTCCCACACCATGCAATATCATTAAGAGCTCCCTAATTGGTCAGATAAATCTGACAGACAATTTCAGGGCTTTCTTAACTATGAAAGCTCAGTCTGTGCCAAGATCTCATCAGGTGAAGATGGATTATTTTATTGCATTACATTTATTTTTAATTTGGCCCTTTTTTGAGCTGAAGAAAAGAAAAATTAAAAGAAACAGGACTACTAATGGTAAGTATATATTTTTTATTTTTACAGGTATTACTGTCCACCCCTCACAATCATTAGGGTGAGGGGGTAGGTATGGTTATTTTAATGGAAGTAACTAAGGTATTGAGAACCCTAGCCATCTAGTAGTGACGGTGACCATGCCACTATGTCGTGTTGGACAATGGCATGTCCACTCTCTATTGAACGATTATTTAGAGCCCCACCCATTACCAATGGATAGGGACTGGGGGGAGGGGGGGACTCCAGGTCCTGAACCCTTAATATTATAGTCAGGAACTGCACCTGGCTGCAGGCATAGGGGGAGACTAGGTCCCACCATATTATAATTGATCCCACTTGCTGACCTTTTATTAAATAGTCTCCTTTTGCCAGAAGTGGGGGGGGGGTGGATAGTGAGTATTTTATGCCCCCTTCTGTTATTAAACAGGAACCATCCCCATGTGATATGACATGTCTAATTACTGAGCAGCCATGGCTGTCCAGTCACCAATTTTTAAAAATTTTGTAAAATACCCCTACCTGCCACGTAGTGTTGGGGGCATAGAGAGGTTTTAAACCTCCCTTATAGTATTTTCAGTGTCTTATTGACTCAGTTGGCTTTTTTTATATAGCATCTAAACTTTTTTTAATGTGGTGACTGGATAGCAAGCACTGGCCTCCATCTTCATAATTAATCCTTTAGCATTGAGGGTTATTTAACTATTTGCCAACTGGCTGCTTGTGCTGCGAGTGGGTAAATAGTTCTTCAAATCATGATTCACATGCAAAATTCAAGCGAACAATAATTTGCGAATGTGCATTCTGTTCCAAGTTGCAAATCTTCCAAATTCTTTACTTTTGGAAAGCACACATTTTAATTGAGACATCAAAGTCATCTGGGTAATTGCCATTGCATTTGGAATATTGGTTTTTTCACCAGATTTTATCCATCAACACCAAATCTCGTGTTTAGTTAATAACCCTCTCATCCTGTGCTTTAGTTTGTGTATGTCAATAACAATATTTGTAACAAACATTGTGTAGTATCTGTCTATCTTTATGTATAGTCAGAGATAGTTTTAATGTGCATATACTTTCTGTTGAAAATATCAAAATATATCTTTGGTTGCAAATTATTATAGTGGTGGGGTTTGGCATGAAAAGTGCTCACTTCAGGATATGTAAATACTTTATTTCACACAAAGGGTTAATGAAACCTTACCTTGCTAATCATTAAGGAACTCCTGTTTAGAGAGCCACCCACACAATCTAAAATATACCTACAAATAAGTGAAAGGGACACATATGAATTGGATCACAGCTGACCTCATCCAAATGTACCAGTTTCGGGATTCATTGTGGTCAAAGTTCAAGTGGACTGGCTCTATGAATGATCACTGTGCATATAGACAATGGTGAAATATATGCACAAAACAAACAAAATTGGCCAAGGCCCAATATTTCTGTGAAAATCTGAACAATAACATATTAAACCCTAGAAATTTTTGGAAAGTCATAAATAAATTACAACCTCCCCCAATTCACTCCCAACCCTCCACTGTCAAAGTCGATAACCAAACCCTGGAACTTCCCTTAGATGTAGCAAATGCCTTTAACAATTATTTTGTCAGATGTTCCACTACCCTCATTACCAAGCTAATAAATGACACATATCCTGAAACTGCAAATGTGTATCAGGCCCCACTAAATTTGCAAAGACCCAATATACACAAGTTCCATTTTATACCTGTACCTATTACTGTCATTAAGAAACACCTTAATAATCTAAAAATGAAAAACCAGTCTGGACCTGATCAAATCAAATAGCACATTGACCGCAGTCCACTCTTTCAAATACCTGGGTATGTTGTTAGACCCCAATCTATCTTTTGGCTTACATAGAAAAACTTGCATCTAAACTTTATCGAAACCTGTACAGAAACAAAGCCTGCCTAAGCCCTAAAGTAAAGTAAAAGACTGTACAGCAAATGCTGATGCCAATCATTGATTATGGGGACGTAGTATATGCACCGCAAACCCACCTTAATAAACTTAATACATTTTATAACTTGTTCTGCCGATTTGAGCTACAATGTAATTACAGGACCCACCATTGTGACATGCTAAAATAACTAAACTGGCTATCGCTGGAATCCAGACGCACCCTTCATCTTTCCAACCTTGTGTTTAAGAGCTTTTCTGGGAAGCTCCCATCCTACCTGAGCTCTCCCCGGCTGTTCCCACCTCCTGTAACCACCGATACAGTACCAGCACTTTATTTAGTCTACCTCAATACAATAAGAAAGCAGCCCGATCCTCCTTTTCCTACAGAGCACCGCAATTATGGAACGACCTCCCGCACATTTTCAAATCTTCCCCAAGCCTAAAATACTTTAAGAGATCCCTCTCTACATATCTCAAAACAGAATGCACCTGTCATGGTTGATTATATATTTTTTACCTGTTCTATGTTAAATTTTGTATGTATTGTGTATTAATATGGGTTTTGTATTTAATTGTACCCTATTGTATCAATGCAATGTTTTGTGGACCCAGGACATACTTGAAAATGAGAAAAATCTCAATGTATCTTTCCTGGTAAAATATTTTATAAAAAATATAATATAATTATAATTGGTTCATTAATAAAACAAGTTAATCACTCATCAAGCCCTACTCTGAATTTTGGCTCACCCTGTACAACACACATCTAGCCAAAATAATAATAATAAAAAAAAAAAATATGCAT